GGAGAGCCGTGGAAAAGATGCTGGAGCGAAGTCGCATGCAGTGTGGCTGGCTGGCAAAGTGGAATGCAGAGTGACATGACATTGCTAGCTTGCAGGGCTGACAAGAAATGCCATCGTGCCTTTAACAGAATTAACATTTCTTGCATTGCCAGCGTGGCTGGCAAAGTGGAATGCAGAGTGACAATGACATTGCCAGCTTGCAGGATTAACAGTGTTTGCAGGGCGTACAGTGCTTGCAGGGCGTACGGTCTTGCAGGGCATACAGTGTTTGCAGGGCGTACAGTGCTCGCAGGGCATACAGTGTTCGCAGAACATACAGTGTTTTTTGGGGGCGTACAGTGTTCACAGAACATAGAGTGTTTTTTGGGGGCGTACAGTGTTCGCAGAACATACAGTGTTTTTTGGGGGTGTACAGTGTTCGCAGAACATACAGTGTTTTTTGGGGGCGTACAGTGTTCGCAGAACATACAATGTTTTTTGGGGGCGTACAGTGTTCGCAGAACATACAGTGTTTTTTGGGGGCGTACAGTGTTCACAGAACATACAATATTTTTTGGGGGCGTACAGTGTTCGCAGGTTGGTGAGGGAGGAGAGCCAGGCCAGTCCGTCCAGAGTGCCGGTGAGCCTGCTGCCATCCAGTCCAATCGCTCTGACAAGATGCAGCCACACGTGGCATGCATGCAGCAATGGAACACGTGGCATGCATGCAGCAATGAAACACGTGGCATGCATGCAGCAATGAAACACGTGGCATGCATGCAGCAATGAAACACGTGGCATGCATGCAGCAATGGAACGCACGCAGGTGCACGTGGCACATTCAACGGAAAATGGGAACCGAAGGGAAAGGGGGTGCATTGAAGTGGTTTTTGAGGCGCCTCAAAAACCACTAAATGACTCCAGTCATGATGAGACATGGCTGAGAACAAGGATTGAGCAGGAAATCGAAGGGAAAGGGGGTGCAGCGAAATGAACCGCCCAACATGGGCATTAGAAGGAAAAGGGGGCGCAGCGAAATGAAAGGGGACAACGGATGGGCGTAGTGGTTGGGTTGGGTCTAGTCCAACAGTGAACCGCCCTGGTTCAAAGCCATGGAGCCATGGACGGGCGGCACTAACAGGTGGGTGAGAACAGGATGGCGGGGTCCAGAGGAGTGAAGAAGGGCGGTGGATGGGCATAGTGAGGAAGCTGCTTTGGTTAGGAGCCATCATCCATGGAAGGGCGGCACTAACAGGTGGGTGAGAACAGGATCAGGGGTGCAGAGGAGTAAAGGGGAGCGAGCGGTGGATGGGAGCGGCACTAACAGGTGGGTGAGGCCGGTGAGGGTGGCGAGGGATGGAATGGGCCCCTCCAGACTCGTGAAGGTCAGATCGCTGTGGGATGGGATGGGATGGGATGGGATGGGATGGGATGGGATGGGATGGGATGGGATGGGATGGGATGGGATGGGATGGGATGGGATGGGATGGGATGGGATGGGATGGGATGGGATGGGATGGGATGGGATGGGATGGGATGGGATGGGATGGGATGGGAGGGGATGGGATGGGATGGGATGGGATGGGAGGGGAGGGGAGCGGATGGGACGGGACGGGACGGGACGGGATGGGATGGGATGGGATGGGATGGGATGGGATGGGATGGGATGGGATGGGATGGGATGGGATGGGATGGGATGGGAGGGGATGGGACGGGAGGGGAGGGGAGGGGATGGGACGGGACGGGGCGGGATGGGATGGGAGGGGACGGGACGGGAATGGATGGGATGGGATGGGATGGGATGGGATGGGATGGGATGGGATGGGATGGGATGGGATGGGATGGGATGGGATGGGATGGGATGGGATGGGATGGGATGGGATGGGATGGGATGGGATGGGAGGGGAGGGGATGGGATGGGATGGGATGGGATGGGATGGGATGGGATGGGATGGGATGGGATGGGATGGGATGGGATGGGATGGGAGGGGATGGGATGGGATGGGATGGGATGGGATGGGATGCGATGGGAGGGCGCAGGAACAACAGTGGAGAAGGCAATGGGAAATCAAGAAAGAGCCTTGAGACCTATCATCTCATTGCAGGGAGGCGAGAGTGATGATGGAGGCGGGTATGAGCCAGTGGGGGGAAGAACGGAGCAAAAGTAGATGGCAAGCGAAGGAAAGGCATGGTGGAGGGAGAGGGTGGGTGGGTAGGAGGTGACGGACAGATATTGCAGGGAGGCGAGAGTGGTGATGGAGGCGGGTATGGAGCCAGTGGCTGGAAGATTCATTCGAGAGAAAGGTATGGTGAAAGGAGAGGATGGGTGGGTGGGACGGACAGGTATTGCCGGGATTCGAGAGCAGTGATGGATGGAGGCAGGTATGGAGCCAGTGGGGGGAGGATTCAGCTCAGCAAAAGCAAAAATGGATGCAAGGTGGATGTGGTGGAGGGAGGAGTTGGGTGGGTGGGTGGGTGGGTGGGTGGGTGGGTGGGTGAGTGAGTGGGTGGGTGGGTGGGTGGGTGGGTGAGTGAGTGGGTGGGTGGGTGGGTGGGTGAGTGGGTGGGTGGGTGGGTGAGTGGGTGGGTGGGTGGGTGAGTGGGTGAGTGGGTGGGTGGGTGGGTGAGTGGGTGGGTGGGTGGGTGGGTGGGTGAGTGGGTGGGTGGGTGGGTGAGTGGGTGGGTGGGTGGGTGGGTGGGTGAGTGGGTGGGTGGGTGGGTGAGTGGGTGAGTGGGTGGGTGGGTGGGGACGGACAGGTATTGCAGAGCGGCGAGAGCAGTGATGGAAGCAGGTATGGAGCCAGTGGCCGGAGGATCCACTTCGACGAACTTCTTTGAATCCCTGCCACCAGCCAACACACGCATGCATGCACGCACGCATCACCAGCTCCCATTCCTCCCCCACCTCCCACCCCAGTTCCCTTCCCCAGTATCCAGTCGTCCCCCATCCCACCACCCACATCCTCCACTTTCAACCCCTCCCCCTCCCGATCCGGAATGCGACTCAATCCATGCTCCCACATGCACATAGTAACATTCAGCCCATCCAGCCCACATCTCAGTACATGATTATTATTCCAAGCAGAGCAGGCAATGGAAGGGTGGAACATTGATACACAGTGAGTGCACGGAGAGTGCATAGGGCCAATGAGGGGTAACAGGGGATATACCGGGGGGCGATACGTTGCCTGGTGGCCTAGACTAGGCTGAGACTCACAGGGCAATGAGACTCACAGGGCGACGAGACTCACAGGGCAACGAGACCCACAGGGCGACGAGACTCACAGGGCGACGAGACTCACAGGGCGACGACGAGCCCGTTGGGGCTGCAAGAGACGCCATCCCATGCAGAGCACGCCGTGGTGGCGTTGCTGTTGCTTTCCCACACGCCCCACGCCTCCTTCAGCTGCAGCAGCACCTTCACTGCCGGCACAGGGGGGAAGCGGGAGGGGAGGAGGGTGAGGGGGGGGGCACGCCGTATTGGCGTTGCTGTTGTTTTTCCAAACGCCCCACGCCTCCTTCAGCTGCAGCAGCGCCTTCACTGGCGTCATAGCGGGGAAATGAAAGGCAGGCCTGGACGCGCCTGTCATAGCGGGGAAATGAAAGGCAGGCCTGGACGCGCCTGTGCGAGGTGACTTTTGAGTCAAAAAGTCACCTTCAGCTGCAGCAGCGGGGAGGCGCTGCCGTCATAGCGGGGCTGCTGCAGCTGAAGGAGGCGTGGGGAAATGGATGGCAGGCCTGGACGGGCGCACAGGCCCGTTTCTCCAGGCCTGGACAGGCCTGTGCGCTCGTGATACTCTGTCTGCCCATGAGAGCTCTAGCTCGGAATGGGAGGATATGTGGCTCGGGATGGGAGGATTTGTGTGGCTCGGGATGGGAGGATATGTGGCTCGGGTTGGGAGGATATGTGGCTCGGGTTGGGAGGATATGTGGCTCGGAATGGGAGGGCATGTGGCTCGGAATGGTAGGGCATGTGGCTCGGAATGGGAGGACATGTGGCTCGGAATGGGAGGGCATGTGGCTCGGAATGGTTGGATACGTCGCTTGGGATGGGGGGTAGGTATGGGAAGCTCGCTATAAGCCTCAACTGGCTGAACGAGTTTGACCGACTCACATTGCGAGTCCGCTAGAACGACGGGCCTTGCAGCGCGCGCGTTTGACCGACTGGCTAGTTTGACCGAGTTTGACCGACTCACATTGCAAGTCCGCTAGAACGACGTGCCTTGCAGCGAGCGCGTCGGGCGCTCTGAAACCGAGCGCGGTCGCGCCGCGCTTTAAGAGCGATCGTCGCGCGCGGCTGGGTCGAGCGCGCGACAGCATGCGCTGCTCGTACGGACGTGCCGGGGCATCGCGGAGCGACAGCGGATAGCTAATACTATTGATAGTCGTATCGCTGGAAAGGGAGCACGCGGCGGCGCCGGCAGCGAGCGTGAGGGCCGCGAGAAGGAGAATGCAAGGTGCGACGTCATTTGCAGAACGCGACGCGGCGGGCTTGGGAAAGCGATTTTCCGGCGTGGTACTGCGCATGATTCAGACTCGTGGTGGTAGTAGTACTATGTAGCGTACTATGTACCGTGAGACAAGGAGAGTCAGCCGGCAGGTAATCATTTCTAGTAAAAGTTGGTAACTAGGGTAACCATAGGAGGAGGATTTCTGAAACGAAGAGGACCTTCCAAGATCGTGTTCGTACGAGTTGAAGAAGCGGGGCACCCCTTCGGTTCAGTTCGGTGCGAGTCAGTGAGCGCGGGTACAAACTAGCCGCGCGCCTCGTCAGTCGAACGAAGACAAACGAAGCACCTGGTAGTCATGGTAGCAGTGAGACCCCAGGAGGGCACATTTGTGTGTGAGACTCGCAAAATTCTGGCCCATACAGGTTTCGAACCTGTGACCTTCGCGTTATTAGCACGACGCTCTAACCAACTGAGCTAATGGGCCACGATTAACACCAGAATTAAAATAACTAAACTTTTAGAAGCTTTATAAATTGAGCCCTTGACTCTTATGTGGTTTATCCTCGGACGATGTTATTCCACTCGCGTTTCATTCCCCATCCTCTCCCTGCGTCGCTGCTGCAGCGGCGCGGAATCACTCGAGCTCTTGAGGGCGATTTCGCGGCGGCCGCGCGGAGCGGAGCGTCACGCGATGCCCGCGCGGACGATGCTGTATGCGCGCAAGCAGCGAATGAGCGGGTCGGCGCGAGGGGGGAAGCGATGGGGGACGCGAGGGGGAACGAGAGTGCGGGTGCAACGTGCGGCGATATCGACCGCCGCGAGATAAATCCGTTCGGCTCGTCGTGGAGTGGCGAGAACCGGAATCGCGTTTCAGTCTCGATCTCGCAATTCGGAGATCGCGTTTCGGTGAACCCCGCGGGTGATTCGGCTTCGCATGCTTCCATGCGACCAATAAATGCGGCCACAATGACGCCAGATGGAGGGGCAGCAGATGGCGCGGCGAGCATTGACGGGCGCTGCGACCCGCGGGGTGACGTCTTGACGATGGCGCCCGATGGTGGGGCAGCAGAGGGCGTCGCGACGCGGCCGGTTGATGCGTCGACGATGGCAGCAGAGGGCGCGGCGAGCATTGATGGTCGCTGCGACTCGCGGGACGACGACGGCGCCGGTTGGCGACGAGATGGCGAAGCGGCGAAGCGGGCGAACTCGCTGTCTGTTGCCCTGCGAAACGCGGCGACTGTTGAGGTGAGTGCAGGACGGGATGGAAAGCTGGTAACTTTAACGTGTGAGGTGCAGTGCAGCGAGGGGACAGTGAGGGGAGCAGCGAGGGGAGCAGGGAGGGGAGCTTGTGAGGTAGTGCTGCTATGCCTCACTCTTGTCTCATTTACGGATCCCATCTCCCTCCCTCTGCTCCCGTTCCCCTCACTGTCCCCTCCCTCCCCTTTTCCACCACCCCACTACCTCCCTTCTCCCCGCCATTTTCCCCCGTTCGCCCTACCTCCCCTACCTCCCTCCACCTTTCCCCAGCCTCCCTCCCGCCTCCCTCCTCACGCACATGTTGTGTCTTGTCTTCCCTTGCTCCGCTTCTCACTTCCTTCCCAATGCTCCCAATGCCCCTCCCCCACCACTGCCCCCGATACCCTCAATTCCCCCTTTGCCCGCAATGCCTCCAATGCCCCCAATTCCCCCAGTGCTCCCACTGCGCCCTTTGCCCCCTCTCTCCTTTGCTCGCATATCAATCCTTCCGCTCCAGCCTCTTTCTTCTCCACACTTCCTTCCCTCACCCTCTTCCATGTCCATCACCCTTACCCCCCACTCCCCACCCGCCACCACATGCCATGTCAGCAGCATCTGGACTTAACTGCCAGTGACGATCTGCAATGCACGAACCTTATGTGCCCCAAGGTGAGGTGCGGTGGGGCGAGATGGGGCGAGGTGGGGCGAGGTAGGGCGATGTGGCGAGTGGGTGGTCTGTGCTGCACCAACCTCATGTGCCCCAAGGTGAGGCGAGGTGACATAAGGTGGGGCGGAGGGGTTATTTGGTGAGGGGCAGTGACGACCTGCGCTGCACCAACCTCAGATGCCTTCAGGTGAGGTGCGGTGAGGCGAGGTGGGGCGAGTTGGGGCGAGGTGGGGCGAGGTGGGGCGGACAAGGTGGGGCGGGTGAGAGACAAGGTGAGGATTTGCGCTGCACCAACCCTCCTATCCACTCTCTTTCTCTCCATCCCCTCCTCACCAGGTCACGGAGCCCTGCATATGTCGCTTGGGCGTTGCCCTCTCCCGTTTGCCGCGCCTCACCTCTCTCACTCTCGCGCACAACGGGTGAGAACACTTCTGAGGCGCCTGCTCAGTCGCTAACCGTGCCTGGTTTAGTGGTTCAGATACCGCCTGCTCAAAAGTGTTCCCATTCACCACCCTGCGCCATCTCGACCTCTCCCACAACCGCCTCTCCTATGAATGACCCACCTGTCCCTTCTGTCCTCCCTACCCCCTCTCCCACAACCGTCTCTCCCAATTCCCTCCCTTTGCAGCCTGGAAGCTCTCCCTGAATCGCTCTCCTCCCTCACCTCCCTCCGCCATCTAGACCTCTCCCACAACCGCCTCTCCTCCCCTCCCTTCGACCTCACCTCCGCCCTTCCACACCTGAAGTGAGTGATGCGTATAGAGGGCAGGAGGGCATGTAACACACTCATTGCATGCCACACCTCTCCCACAACCGCCTCTCCACCTCACTTCCGCCCTCCCACACCTCACGTGAGTGCGTCAAACAGAGAGCATGAACAATCAGTACCACACCACACTCACTGGGTTGGTTGCACACCTCTCCCACAACCGCCTCTCCTCTCCACCTCACGTCCGCCCTTCCACACCTCAAGTGAGTCATACTGAAGAGGACACGATCAAATATTACCCATTGCATTTCACATCCCATTGCATTTCACATCCCATTGCATTTCACATCCCATTGCATTTCACACCCCATTGCATTTCACACCCCATTGCATTTCACATCCCATTGCATTTCACACCCCATTGCATGCCATGCCTCTTCTCTCCCACAACCTCTCACTTCGGCACCTTTAATAAGTGAGCGAGTCCTTGATTTAGGGCACGAGCAAATATGCATTGCACCTCCCTCTCACAACCATCTCTCAACACCACATTACCACCTCACAACATCCCTTGTGCAACTGCTATATGTCTCTGCATGTGTGTAATTTTCTTTGATGCACTTCAGATTCTAGAATGGTCCCTTTGGGCATCGTTCTACATCATCCCATGCACTCTCCCTATGACTCTCACCCCTCCCATCCCATACACTCTCAACATGCTATTCACCCCTTTCGTCCCATGCATGCCCCACTATCCCACGACAGGTCTCTCGTCCTTTCTGGCAACCCCTGTGCCCCATCCACACCATCACATGCCCCCCCTCTGCAAAAATCCAATGAAGATCAATGATCACAGCTATGCGTCGCTTGCTCATCCTTGTCAGTAGCTTGCATGCATTATGTTTTATGTTTCCCTGGCTTGTTGTCTCGTCCTACTATTAGGGTACATTCCGCTCTGGACATGTCCCAATCGTACATGTCCCAATCGATTCCACCGCTCCGAACCAAACTAAACCAGAGACGCGAAAATTTTGACAATGTTTGAAACTAGGGTGTAATTCGGTGTAATAAGATGCAGAGCGGTGGAATCGATTGGGACATGTCCAGAGCGGAATGTACCCTTATACGGCACTTGGTCAGTAATTGCCACAATCGTTCCAAGTTCCAACAAGGACAAACCACCAGAGTGCCCTGGACTTGGTGCCACTGCTACTGCATTCCTGTGCATAACGCCCTAGTGCTCTGGCCTTGTAAGTGCTTCATGTACTCAGCTGGGAAGACGGGTCTGGTCCTCAGAACTGCAAAGCTGGCCAGTGCCACTGCTGCAACTTCCACCCTCCAGGGCTGCGGCGGAACTCTCCTCAGGCTGTTCCTGCAGTGACTGGCTGGTGGTGCTTGTGTCCTCATGTGCTTGTGTCATGCTGCTCCATGCATTCAGCCAGAATGAACATGCTCTTAATGGCTAGAGGAAATTGGGTTGGGGTTCATGCTAGGTCACACAGGTGTGTTCTTGTACTGAGTGGCATGCCGCTCCATGTATTCAGCCAGAATGGACGTGTTCTTGAAGGCTGCAGAAAACAGGGTAGGGGTGTATGTTGGAGAGGGTGAGCTGGGAGTTTAGAGGGTTAGGGTTGAGATGAGTGCGTGTGGGCGAGATGTGGAATCTAGAATGCATTCTGCCAGTTCGCGATACCAATCATGCAAGCAGTAACAGGCACTGGTGCCAGGACCCTCCAGCACCTACCAGCACCTACCACGAACTACCAGAACCATGGTTTCAGAGGACATACCCATGGCAATATTAAGATCAATGGTATTAAGGGACGAGTCTGTCTTCAACAGGTGGATTGCCAACAGCAACGCCAAGGAGCTGAGTGCCTGCGGAGGAATGGTGTGATGTGATGCGATGAGACACATTTATTCCATTTGATGCACGCCTCTGTTTTGCAATGCTTTTGAAAAAAACTTAGATGCATGCATTTCCTTGAAGTCGAGAACGGACTGACCCCTTAGAATGGCCTGGTCCAACATAAAAAGGGCTGCTAGAAATGGACGGGCACAGCCATGGGACAAAAGGGCCGCTCTCACCTGGTCTTCTCCATCAAGGTCGGCAACGTTCCTCCAGCACTGCTGCTGTGGCGGGCACACAGAGAAGCGAATCCCCTGGCTGAACGGGTCACGCGGGTCAACAGGTGCCAGGTCAGCATCGCCACCTGGCGCCATAATCTGGTAGTTCTCCTTCACCCGCGTCCTGATAGCATCAAGGCCTGCTGTAAACTCTGCCTGCCGACGCCTTATCAGGGCCTTGTGCTCCTGCTTCACAGCATCCCTCTCAGGTGTCACATCTGTTGCTTCAAAGAACGCCTCGAAAAAGGCGTCATCTTGTTTGTGGTACCTGAGCAAGTTCAGAAGATAAAAATAGGATTGCAGTTGATATGTAGTGCGTTCTGCTTCAAGCCCTCTTGTTAAGTAAGAGAGTGGTATCACAGCAGACTGCATCACTCTCAGAGCACTATATTCGTAAAAACAGGACCTATCAGTGTACACATCGAGTCTCTACCTCCTTTCATGCACACACATGCTTGCACAGTACAACCTCCTTACTGGCACACTCACACTCACTCATCCAATCACACCCGCACTTACCCCACCTGCATGCTCACAGCTCTCACTTACTCGTCAATGTAGCTCATGTCAACCGTTTCCCAGAGCGCCTTGAGCTCTTCTCCCAGGGACTCGTGCTTTGTCAGCACCTCATCGTAGCTGGCTCCTGCGCTCATGCAGTTACTGCACAGCCAGCACAGCAGCCTTCCCAGTTTCTGCATCACTTTTTCGGATGCGTCTGCTGCAGGCTCAATTACTTGGCATTGCGCCTCACTCCCCTCTGCACCCTCACTCCCCTCTACAGCCTCACTCCCCTCTACAGCCTCACTCCCCTCTGCACCCTCACTCCCCTCTACAGCCTCAATCCCCTCTACAGCCTCACTCCCCTCTGCAGCCTCAACCACACCCTCTGCAGCCTCAACCACACCCTCTGCAGCCTCAACCACACCCTCTGCAGCCTCAGACCCTTCTGCAGCCTCAACCACACTTTCTGCAGCCTCAGCCTCAGCCACTTCTTCAGAAAGAACTGCATCCCCACCTGCCGCCTCTAACCACTCGCCCAGAACTTCGTTGAGAGCGTGAGGAAGGCATGCCTCCTCCATATCCTCGTCTGACACGCGCTTTTCTTGCATGCTGCCAAAAAAGAGGGGAGAAAATACAGCTCAAAAACACCTGTGATGGGCGAGGAAGGCCGGTCTTATCCATACCCACACACACTCGCTTTCAGGGTTTCTAATGGAGCTCCTTTCGAGACTCAGGTGTAGCAGTGCATAAACGCTTAAGAGTAACGAGCAGAGGGCAGAAAAAAATGAGGACAGCTCAGAGTAGCGAGCAAAGTCAGAGAGCTGGCATTACGGACTCACTTTGAGATCTGGCATGAGAGGTGCTTCCCCAGGGACTTGAGCTCATTTCTCGCCAGGCGTGAATGGTCCACACTCACTTGATGAATGCGACTGAACTCCTCCAGCTGTGAAAGTCCCTTCTTCTGACCGTTTGGAGACCAACGGAAGAACGCAAAGGTGTGTGGGTGAAGAAAGAGGATGAGCAAAGTGGAACTCATAGCAAGGCATAATCTCAGGGTTAGAGTAGGGATACTGTCATTTTCCAATGGAATGGCAAGAGAGAAAGATGAGCTTAGTTCATGATGCCAATTTCCCTTTCGCAAATTCTAAATGCTTAACTTTATCAACCTTGCCCTCCCCCTGCATGCTTACACAGCAAACCGCTCACAAGGAATGTGCGTGGAGAATCACTTGACCACGGAAACAGAAAAATAGTTGGGGAAGGTGCGTGAGGACACACGGAATGTGAGTGTGTGTGTGTGCTTCCAGTGTGAATTGCAGGAAAGGAAGCAGAGCCCAATGCACGTATAAGATATACATTCGGCCCTGAACAAATTCAAGCACCTACCCAGATCCCTCTTCATGGCCCTCACCTGGAAAATCTTCCCTTCCCCCGTGCGCCTATATCACCTCCCCTGCGGCTATCTCATCTCCCCCACGCCCCACTCACCTCCCCTGCGCCCACCTCACCTGCCCTGCCCCATCTCACCGCTCGCAATAAGGTTTCCTCCGACTGGCTAAGAACTGCACGTATCTCCCTTCTCCTGTCAAGGCACTCGACACCCTTGCGCTTCATTAGCTGCCAGCACAGGTGCAACCAGGGGAGGGGGATGCAGGAGCAGGATCAAGTGGTGACCTCAGAGTCATTTTCCTTGCCTTGAGGAGCCACTCCTCCTGCCTGCACCACACTGCCTGCTAGTACAGGCGTAACCAGGGGAGGGGGATGCGGGGAGTTGGAAAAGGTGGTGATTTTTGCTTAGCTCCCTCCCTGTAGCAGCCCTCTGCTCTGCCTATGCAGGCATAAACGTAAGACGACATAGCAGGCAGGAAGAGTGGCAGGGATGGAAAAGTGGTAAGGACGAGGGAAAGGATAAGCGTGTGAGCTTGCATTGCATGGTAATATTTCAATGCGTCACTTTCCCAAGGGCTCTGTCGCGTAACTCCCAGAGCCGTCTACAAACCTTCCTCGACAGACACACCTGTTTCAACCTTTTGCGCTTCTCATCCACTATATGCATCTGCAGAAAAAGTTTTTTGTCCTCCGTGCTGCTTCCCTTCCTATTCATGCCTTTGCTACTCATGCCTCTGCTGCTCGTAACTTTACTGCTCGTGCCTCTGCTGCTCACGCCCCCTATAGAGTGGCTCGGGCTCTTGTCTTGCTTGGGTTGTTTGTTCTCCTGCAGATGCAACGAGGACAGAAAATATAGTGGTTGCCGTGTGAGTAAGTGTGAGTGAGCGTCTGGCATGTGGATATGTTATGGACAGGTCATTTCAGTACCACAGAGCACATATTCTACAGATTTATCCTCTCATCTAAACCTCGTACTGGCGCATCTGCTCTTACCCGCAAGATGCGGAACATCCGGACCTTTTCATCCTACTCAAAAATTTCATCCCCATTGTTCAGTCACCCACCCACCTTGCCTGTCTTGCAGGCAGGCAACTTCTTCGCCAGTGCGTTGAGCTCTTTATTGGCAGCCTTCAGCTCTGGAATGACCGCCTGTCAAGAAAGCTTGCAACATTAGGAGCACACACAAGGGGGAACTCTCAAGGCTAAGCTTGAAAAATCAGCCATCTTTCTGGGCCAACTTTCCACTCCCTTGCTACTCACTGCCCCCCAGACTCACTTTAAACTCCTTTGCGCATTTATCATACTCGAGTTCTTTGCACTTCAACTCTGCCGAAAGCATCAAAACGGTTTTCCTGCGTCAAACGGTGCTACAGTCAGCGGGCTCAGACACTCATGGTCGGATACGACCTCTCTTTCCAGTACCCATCCAGTACTGGATGACGACAGGACAAGTACCGAAGCCATGACATTTCTAAGTGCTCTGCCGCATCAGGAACATCTCAACTCGCATCCCACCAACCTTCTACCCCACAACAACTCCCAGCCTCACCTGTCTGTGTCGATCACCCTTTCAAGGTCTGCGGCCAGCCTGCTAGACCTTTTCATTGTTTGCTCACGCTCCTGCAGCTGCAAATAAACTGCCGCCATGTTCAGCTGGGTGAGCTGCGCTTCCTTCAGCAGAAAAGCTTCAGCCGCCTTCTTGTGCTCCTGGAGGGAAGGGCATGCAAGCCATGGGGTTGATTGAAGACGGAAGTGGGTGAGATGAGGAGTATGAAGTGCAGCGCCAGGAAAGATAGTGTGCCTCTGTCATGCACAGCTGCGTTCGCTGTGCCTCCTCCAATGGGAACACTTGAAGCTGCTCTCTTCACTGCGTGTAGAAACGAAAGAGATGGCTTGAAGAGTTCATGCGGAGTGGGAAAGGGAGAGTGAGTGACACGAGCATCAAGAAGATCCTGTAGGAACGAACGTAATGGTCTTTGAAATCCATAGGACATGCTGCATCCCAGTACTAATGTTGTTCTGCGGCATGCAGAAAGCACTGATCTGCAAAGTATGGAGCTTTGACCATCCCGGTACAGGCGCTCTCTTTGGCTCCTGGAGCAGATGGAATGGAACTCAAGCCAAGTGCTTTGGCTAGGAAAGGTATGGAGATTAAGGTTGAGGCATCTGCAACAGGAAGGACTTGAGACATTACTTACATAACTTCCAAGCTCCTTCTTCAGTGCATGCTTGCTCGCAGAGTTCAATCTCTATGAGTACTCTATAATGCTTGCTCTATCTATGCACTCACCTCCAGCTGGACCTTTTCTCTCTCCGCTAATCGCATTTTTTCCATGAAGCCCACCCTTCTCTCATTCAGATCCTCAAGCCTGCACACAAACGGACAGGCAGAGAGGCAGGCAGACAAGGAGGCAAGCAGTCAAGGAAGCCGGCAAACAAGGATAATAGCAGACGAGTCTAAGTCAAGTTCTCTGAGAGCCACAACAATAAGGACCAGAGGCATTCAGCCACAGGGAGAACCTAATGATGATAGGATTCAGGGTGATTCATTTCTGCGAGCTAGTGGTACTTACTCTAGAAACAAACGCAGTACGATCAAATGATGAAGAATGAATGCGAATCTTGCACCATCCGTACATGCGTATACAAGAATACGTTACCGTTGGGCTTTCTCCTTGATCTGCTCGATGTACTTGTTCGTTCCAATCACCTTCTCAAGGTACTCCAGCAAACCCTCCTCATGAGACCACTGTGCCTTTGGTTTCATTGTCGCAACCCGCTCCAACTCGCCCTGCAATCCTCAACACTTGTGAAAAGCCAGTTGTAACTTGAAATACTTGCAACGAGACGCTCCGCCGAATCAACTACAGAAACACCGCACCTGAAGGACGTGAAGACATTCAATGTTGAGGTCGATCCCCTTATTCTTCAACAGTATGGCGACCTCTTCAAATGAGATGACTTCATTACCAACATCATGATTGGTCGTATCGTTGCGGTAGGTCGTACGCAGTATAGCAGACTCTGTTGCTGACACTGTCTCGTTGGTATCCATTTCCTGAATTGACCATTGACAGAACTTGCATACGACGTTAGACATCTCTACCTCGACACCACTTGTCTGGATGGAGAATAAGATATGTAGGTGAAAGCAGAAAAAACGCACCAGATGAACGATTTCCTTGAAATGCGCACAAACTTCAGGATAATCTTGATCGGTGGAGTTCTGGATGAGATCAGTGACTTTGTCCTGCTGCAAGGGTCCATGTCACGGATCATTAGCGAATTTCTAACTCGATCTGCGAATTGTGAGAGCACATAAATGAGGTTTGGGATCAGATTTGCTGCGACTCCCGAGGCACTGCTGCGTGAGCATCATGATCCAGGATATTGCTGATGATCCAGGTTGGTGCTGCTGATGGTCGAGATAGACGTTGCTGATGTTTATTACAGACATCGCCGAGCATCATGGTCACATTGCTGCATAATCATCGGCGTTGGTATTTTATGACATTGCTGGTGTTCATGATTGACATCGGTGCTGATAACGACTGACATCGTTGATAATCATGAGAGACATGGTCGTTTCATGATCAGATGCACATTGCCGGTGATTAGGATTGGCGAAAATGTTGGTGATCGTCGTTTACATTGCTGCATAATCAAGATTCAAACCATCGTTGCACGATAATCTTAGAGTTAACCACACCTGCTAGTCTTTGACTTCTACACATGGCACATCACGAACCTTATTAATCCTGGAAGATGGAGTGGTACGAGTGCTCGTTAGGTTCACAAACGTTTTCGAGAGATTTGTCAGGTTCGAGTCTACCGAAACGCTCCAACGGAAGCACCAGCAGACGTATTTAGCAGCCGTGACAGCAACAGCGAATGGCTGACAGATTCACATCCAACGCTTGTTCCTCTTCCAGACGTAAATGCTATAGAACGAAACTCCGTGCTGGTGAGCGAGCCAAGGGACAACAATGACCGTTAGAGCTGTGGGGGGAGGGGAAAACATATGAGCGTTGGAAATTGCCGCGCGACACTATGGCAGTCAAATTCCAAACCCCCATGTGTTTTTCAATTTACCGCTTTGAACCGCAACGCAGACCACAGACTCATGAAATTGATCCAGAAACAGCTCACACATCGCAGCAATCATGATCCGAGGCATTCATTCTCGAGTTCCTACCGTTCGGCGACGAACTCCCAAGATCGTCTGTTGTGCGAGTGCTCATATGCATATACAAATTACACTGGTTTTGCACGGTGCTGTACGCTGTCGCATGGTGCTGCAACAAAAATTCGCACACTGTGAGCATTTCAGATCTGAACCAAAAATATACTCCTGAAGTTCAAAGGCTTTGAAGCAGCTCTTGTACCGCGCCCTTGATGTTCCAAAACACCTTGATGTTCCAAAACACCTTGATGTTCCAGAACCCGCTTTTGACAAGAAAGCAATTCCAAGCTAGATCTGGGGAGGGTTTTGCGTAGTCTCATCTTCCTGCTATCAACGCCCAGAACAGGAATACCCGTAGATCGCCTTTCTTTAGCCGGTTAGGTATCGAAATCGCTAGATAGTCGATAGCCTGGTTAGATTTAGGCTCCCCGCGTCGTTCAGAAGCGGGTTTATCGGCAATGGCGATGGAGGATTCGAAGAAACGCAAAGCGGAAGGAAAGGATGGCAACGGCGAGTCAGGCTCCGGTCGTCACCACACCAGGTTCGAGGACCCGCCCGCGGCGCTCACGGCGCATCAGGCGCGCATGCTCGTGGACGTCATGAAGGACGGCGACGTTCGCGAAGCGCTCGTGAGCGCGGCGATGTCGCACAGCGCCGTCGCCGACGCGATCATGGAGATCGTGGGTCGCGACTCGCAGCAGCGCCGAATCTTCGTGCGCGGACTCGACTTCAACACCACCAACGAGACGCTTCGCCGAATCTTCGTGTCCTTCGGCGACGTGGAGGACCTTCAGGTAGGGAGGATGGGGAGGATGGGGAGGATGAAGCGACTAGGCTTTGAGAGGGCACGGTTTCAGCCCGTATCATGCATATGTTGAGACCTTGATGGCAGGATGGCAGGAGATCGGCCCGTGAGAAGGCAAGATCAGATTTCAAGAGGGCGGATCGAGTTTTTATCCGAGCAGGATCCGATTTTCAGGGTGTCGAGTTGCTGAGAGTAAACGCTGTCGCATACGATGCATCTCAAGTTCCGCTTCGTTTCCCGCGTTTATCCCGTCTCCCCGCCCTCCCCGCCTCCCTGGGTGCGCGCAGATCATCAAGGAGAAGGGGACGGGTCGCTCGCGCGGCTTCGGCTTCGTCACCTACCGCTCGCTGCGCGGCGCCATTCGCGCCTTGGAGGAGCCCTCTAAGCTCGTCGACGGACGAATGGTCGTGTGCCAGCTGGCGACGCTCGGCCCGGGCGGCGGCTCGGCGAGTGCTGACGTGGCGGCGCGGAAGATTTTCGTCGGGAACGTCCACGTGGAGCTGTCTTCAGAGCAGCTGCTGTCGTTCTTCTCGCAGTACGGAGATATCGAGGAGGGGCCGATCGGATTTGATAAGAGCACGAGGAAGAGTCGCGGGTACGCGATCTTCGTTTTTAAGACCGCGGAAGGTGCGCAGAATGTTCTGCAGGAGCCGAATAAGATCATTCACGGGCATCAGGTGTTTTGCAAGCTCGCCGGCGAAAACAGAGGCAAGCAGCAGCTGCAGCAGCAGCAACAGCAGCAGCCGGGGCTAATGATGCTACCAGGGGTGGCGGAGGCGGAGCAGCAGCAGGGGTATCCGCAGATGGTGTTTTATGGGGGGGACGCGCAAGCCGCCGCTTACGCCGCCGCGTTCGCGCAGCAGGCGCAGGCGCAGCAGTTCCAGGCGGTTCCGCAGCAGCAGCAGGTGTATCAGGTGGCGGACGTGTACGCGCAGCAGGCGCAGGCTCAGGCGCAAGCGCAAGCACAGGCCCAGGCACAGGTGCAGGCGCAGGCGCAGGCACAGGCGCAGGCGCAGGGACAAGTTCCGCTGCAAGCGCAGTACTACCAGCAAGCGCCCGCCGCCGCCGCGTACCAGCAGCAGGTAGCTGGTTACCAGCAGCAAGCCGCAGCTGGCTACCAACAACAGGCCCCGGCTGGTTACCAGCAGCCCGCAGGTGGTTACCAGCAGGTCGCAGCTGGTTACCAACAGCAGCCTGTGTACGTAGCCCCTGCTGTTGCCGCCCCAACTCTCGCAGCCCCCCCCGCCGCCCCACAAGCGGCGCAGTTGCAGCCTGCGCCTGCTGCGCCCTCCCCCCAGGGTTACCCCGCGCAAGCGGCGCCCGCGCAGGGCTACTATGCGGCCCAGGGGGCAGTGCCTGCGCAGGGCGGATACGTGCAAGCGGGTGTTGCGCCGCAAGGGGGGGTTTACTACCCGCTGCAGGCACAGGCTCAGGGGCAGGCGCAGGGGCAGATGCAGGGGCAGATTCAGGGGCAGATGCAGGGGCAGGCGCAGCTACAGGGGCAGCAGCAGGGAGGGAAAGGCGGCGCTGGGGAAGCTTCCCCCCAGCCTGGCGCAGCAGCAGCAGGAGGGGCTGCGGGGCGGCCGAGCTACCCTGTAACACCACAGCTGCAGCAGCAGCAGGGGGCAGGGCAGCAGCAGCAGGGGGTGGTGTATGCAGGGTACTATGGCGCACAGTAGCTGCAGCTGTGCGTGACACCCTGTTCAAGACTGTGAGCTGTGCCCAAGAGTCTCTGTTAAGATGCTGCTCTGTAGGTATGAGTCTGTTGAGTTGGAGGCTACTTCTGAGGCGCCTGAAAAGGGGGTGGTTTTGGCTCCCAGTGAATGTGTTGAAGGCTGGTGGGAGCGATTGCAGCATCTGGGAGGGGTGATAGCTTTTGGTTGTTGATGGCTGCTTGTGTCTACGCTAGCCCGTCTGTTTCTCTCTACCATTTGCTGCTTCCGTCTGCTGCTGCCAAGTTCACGGAGGTTTGTGTTGGCTTGCCACACGTTTACACCTCCTCCTGAGCTCCTTCTCCTTCTTGCTTAGCTGATCTCTCACCATGAAGCTTTCTGCACACCGTTTCACCTTGTTTTCTCCAGCCTGTCTCGGACAAGCTCCTCTCTCTGAGTTTCAATTCCACTACCTGCTGGCTCCTGGCGCAAACTTCGGCTCTGATCTTCTCTCTTCTTGCTTTCGCTCCTCACCTCACCTACGTCTTTTCATGGCTTCCGGCTCTGCCTCTTCGTACGTTGCAGTTCTGCCTCCAGTTCGATGCCGCCTTGTTCACTCCGAACCTCTTACCTGTGTTTTGTCATCACTTCGGTTGCTGACTCTCTGCTGTGGATTGTTCCACGCTCTCTCAGTTCTCTTTGTTCATCGGGAGCATCTCTCAGTTCTGACTCTCTGACATCGGTCCTTATCATCTTATAAAACCTCTCTTACTGCATTCGTTCTATCGGGAGCATCTCAATTCTCTCCATTGGGTCTGCTTCTGTGTCCTCCCGAGCCTGGTGCTAGGCATGCTTCACCGCTTCTCTGCCAATGCTGTTGACTGTGATTAGCCCTGTTTGCTGGATTTTTTTTTTCCCTTGCCCTTTGAACGTGTCATTACTGTATCTTTCTGGACTCCACTCACTCTGATTTTGTTCTTGGTAAACCCCTTTTGGTTTCCCTGTATTGTTGAGGGTTACCGTCATCCCCCGGATATAAGACATGTATGTCTTATCTCATATATTAAAAAAATCAGTCTTATAAATGGACAAAAATCCGTTTAGAAGATACCGTACTTCCTCGTTATACATTTGTCATTTGCCCCTACACACAAATAGGTGTCTTATAATGAGGCTACCCTGTTTATAAGAGACACCCGTATAATAGACAACCCCTGTCTACTATTCAACACTGTCTTATATCCAGGTGATGACGGTATGCAATTTTACTTCTTTGCTCAATGTTATTCTGGTTTCACTCTCCTTGTGCTGGGTTCCCTCAATGATTTTATATTTTGAAGTCTGTCTGATTCTATCCGTGGTTGCATTCAGTTGGGTATTTTATTCTCCATTTGAAGCCATTTTGGTGGCAGATTGCTGTCTATATGCTGCTGTGCTGAGTAGTATTGAAGTGTGGCAAATCATTTTTTCAAGCATTGCTCGAGTAACACCACTAAACCTCCAAATTCCACTCACAGACTACAAGCCTTTTAGAAAAGTATGTTCGCCATAAGGATCCATGGATTCTATCTGACCGTACCTGTGTGAAATTTTGTTGCAACACCATGCGGCAGCGTACAGAACCGTGCACAACCAATGTAATTTCTTCAAGCATATCATAAACTTGAGGAAGCTTGAGCAGTTTCCAGGTCATGCGTTGCGGTTCAAGGCGGTAACATAGAGAACATATGGGCGGTTGGAATTTGACTGGGAAAGCGTCGCGCTGCATTCTCCAACGGTCATATTTTCTCCCCTCCCCACCAGTGCCCTAGATATCAGACTTTGGAGTCTGAATCAGAGTCCGTTCAGACTTTTTTTTTGTACCTAGTCTGAACTCAAAGAATTTATTTATGTACCTTGTCTGATTTTCCAGAGTTTTTTCTTATGAGTTGTCTAAAATTTCAGCCTAATTTTACTGGGGTAGGCTGAGCCTCAGACTTGTATCGGGGGTACACTCTGCGCGCTTATTGGAGCAAAGTTTCCTGGATGTTTCCTTCCGATATGCCCACTTCCGAGATGGTAGTGGAGTGCCAGGACGTGAGCAACGCTCACTTCGACAGCTGGGACATCCAAATACACTCGTTCGTCGAGAATATCTTCCAGTTACGCTGAGGAAATGGTTGCGTGATTATGAGATTTCTGAAGACAAAATCTCGTCACATGTAAGTTATCGCTAATGTGTTGTAAAGAATAGGCGACTTTGATGCTGATTCGCTGTAAAAACATCTGCAGCACGCACTGGTGTGAATTGTGAAGTTCCTGATTCGTACTAAAAGTTTCGTGTGGCACTGTCTGATCCTCGCATGCCACGCCAAGCAACAGTTTCTGCCTGCTGCCAGCTCAGCTGCGTGGCACTTGGCCCACCTGATACAGATCGGGTGAACGATCGAATCGCTTGAAAAGCAAATCCAAAACTGACAAAATCGGCACACATGCGAGAAAATGGGTACAGGACGGTAATCACACACACGACAAAACGAAATGAGACCAGCAGAGCAGAAACAACCATGCACTGCACGTGACAAAAACACTGGAACGCCGCCGACATGAGCAGAGGCGATGCACGAGCACGAGCACGTTGCCTGATGCGTTGGTATAGTAGGCTGTAATCAGCCTCAATGCTATTGTAACTGCTTTTATGAAACTGCATGAACATCTTAAAATTTGAAGTAACTCTGACAGTTCAGACAGAAAAAATTGTGCTTGTCTGAATTTTCAGACTAAAATTTTGAGGCACCTCTGACAGACTACCTCAAAACGAATCTAGGGGCCTGCTCCCCACCCCACCACAGCCCCTGCCGCGCAAAAATGACATTGTTTTCCCTTTACTTAGGGCGTGGAAGATCCCTACGAACATTTGTTTGGTTGCTCCTGTGGTCGAACATATGGCCTCGTCAATGGCTTGCGACATCTTTCGCCGGGTAACACACGAAACCCTACATTGCAAATCAGAGAGGCTTTAAGCTTTCGGAAGGGGCCTTGGTCTCTCTCGAGCGAAGAGCTCTGATTTCATCAATCACTCGGAAAAAATCGGATTGCACCACATCACCCACGACAACACCTAGTTGCATGTCGTGTGATACTTCTTACGTCGCCAATCTTTGGAGAGAATTTCTTGTGAAACAAGAAACAGGAATGGGAATGACTAAGGAAAGATTGGGTACAAATACAACCCTAGAAACCCTGTACCCCATATGTGCTACCCCACTATAGCCTACAGCAACTATGTCATATAAATCTGACACACCCCCATAGGCAAAGTGGGGGAGAACAAGGGGTCACAAGACCAGTCAAGTAAAGCAAAGCAGAGCAAGCTCAGGGTGGATCACAACGTCACCACACAGTCCGAGCACAAGAGCAGGGCCAGTGGCCAGTTCACATGCAGGAGTACAGACATATATATATAAAACTAGACAAGCAAGAGCAGGTATATATATGTCACAGTACAAGTAAAGTCAAGAGGAGAGCAAGTGAGGCAAGACAGGCACAAGACCCAGCTGGGTGCAGAGGCGCTGATGGTCACAAGGCGCGAGTGCCTTGGTGAACACATCAGCAGTGTTGGCCTCAGAGGCCACGTACGCAAGCCGCAACTATCCACGCTGCTGCAGCTCACGAGCAAGGAAGTAGCGAAGAGCAATGTGCTTCGTTCTGTGCTCCAGACGCTACTCTCGACACAAGGCCAGCATGGCCTTGTTGTCTACGTACAGCACTGGAGGAGAACGAGGCGGCTCTCCAAGTTCAGTCAGCAGGTAGGTGAGCCAGCGAAGCTCCTGTGCAGCCATGGCCCCAGCGTAGATCTCAGCCTCACAACTGGAGCTGAGAACCGAAGACGAGCGAGTAGCCCGCCACGAGACAGAGCCGGAACCAAGACTGAAGGTGTAACCCTGTGACGACCGCTGTGTAGCCTGGTCGTCAGCCCAAGAAGCGTCCGCGTGTTCTGTAAGGACCACTGGACTCCGCCCTCCAAGCACTAGCCCCATGCCCGACGTACTGCACAGGTAGCGCAACACCCTCTTCGCTGCAGCCATGTGCTCTGGTCGGTGTCTCCCAGGAGCAACATAGCGTGCAAGAATGCTCAGAGGGTATGCAAGGTCAGGTCGTGTGCAGGTCATCAGGTACATGAGGCAGCCAACAAGCTCTGGGTACGGGCCACTCGACTCTACGGACTCATCCGAAGGCAGAGCTGAGAGCGAGTGGCGAGTAGACAGAGGAGTGGCCTGAGGCGAGGAGTACGTGAAGCCGAAGCGCTGAAGGACCTGCTGCACCATGTGTGACTGAGTCAAGGTAATGGTGCGGCGTGCTCTGTCCCGAGTGATCTGCAAGCCAAGGTAGCGGCGCAGTTCACCCAGGTCTGTGCACGTGTGTCTCTTCAGCAGCTCGGACTTCACGTAGGCGAGTCTAGCAGTGTCCGCTGTGGCAAAGACCAAGTCGTCGACGTACACGAGGATGTAGAACGGCGGCAGTGAAGTGTCAGTGCGCAGAAACAGCGACGGGTCAGCAGTAGAAGGAGCGAACCCAAGAGCCGCAAGTGTAGTCCTCACTGTGTCGTGCCACTCACGCGGTGCCTGGCGGAGACCGTAGACTGGCCGTCGGAGGCTCCACTGGGTGCCAGGAGGGAAAGTCCCAGTGAAGCCAGGTGGACGGCGCAGCCAGATCTCCTCGTGCAGGCTACCCTGCAGGAACGCAGTGCTGAAGTCGAGAGAGTGAAGCTCGTAGTCGCGCTGAGCGGCTATGTGCAGCAGCACCCGAAGAGTGGTCATCTTCGGGGTGGGAGAGAAGGTGTGAAAGTAGTCAGCTCCCTGCCGCTGACTGAAGCCACGAGCAACGTACCGCGCCTTGAAGACAGGTGGAGAGCCCGGCGGCCGCTTCACCCTGAAGATCCACATGCCACTGACGATGTTCGCCCCAGGAGGGGGAACTGCGTCAACGTAGGTGCCTGTGGACTTCCAGGAAGCCATCTCTGCATCCATAGCTGCCTGCCACTGAGAGGAGTAGGGACCCTCTACGGCCTCCGCGTAAGAGCGCGGAGTCGGGATGTCTAGTGCATCCGGGCCTCCCTCAGGAGCAAGCACTACAGACGCAAGATGAGGTGAAGCAGCCGCCAGACACTGTAACTCCTCCTGCCTGTCCTCTAGGACGTCCGTGCCAAGAGCACACTCACCCCCGACGGACGGAGGACAGACAGACGCAGACTCAGCAACAAGACTAGTAGCGTAGTCTAGGCGACAGCGAGCAGCAAAGTCGACGAGCTCAGCGACAAGGGCAGACGCAGCAGTGGACTCAAACGAGGGGTCAGTGACGACAGTAGCAAGGAG